CGAAAAGAATTTCCTAATGCGCTTCTGATTCATGACGAAACGATTTTGGCGAGAGATTGACTTATGTAGGCGGAGAATCCCGGTCGAGAAGTTGTCATGACCTATTGATAGCGTTATAATGTATATGACGATAGCAAGTAACCTTTCTAACGATACAGTATGAACTCTACATAAAATTTGATACCAATACAAATTATGTAAAGTTCTGTATTACCTAATAGATTTATTCTTTTTTATTTTGATTATTTTTCTAAATAACTATCGCACTATAAAATTTTCGCAAAATTGGTGTAGGTCATTATTTAGTTAGACCCCATAATTTGCCAAATAAATTAGTTAAAACTAAAACTATGAATATCTAATCATAAAATGCATTTCATTTCTCAACAGACCTATTCATGTGATATACTTAAATATCACAGTACCTATGTAATACAGAAATCGGATTACATTTTCCGTCGATTAGTACAGCTCCAAAATTATAAATGTTCAAATTGGATGTTATTACAAGTGCCTAGAGTTCACATTTGGCCGTCGAGTTGGTGTAAACGTCAATCGTTTGCAGATGTTGTCAAACGCGCCCCCGCGCCCGCCCCGTGCTGCGTCACCACACGGCGCGCGCGCAGGCGTTGGTGTTGACGACTGGTTTCTGTCGGTGCCGGTCCATCGAGCGCTCTACACGCATGTTCAAACAATTTAGCAATGCGCAGCTGTCGTTGAATGCTGAATTTAGTAAGCGTGTGCGTTTTGCGTAGGAGAGCTGTGGTCGCGACTTCATTCCATGTGAGCACGCACTACTCATTCTGAGTTAGTTGTGTTTTGTTTCTTGGGAGTGCCACAGCTTGGACTGTTCTCGACTGTTAACACCAACCTGACAAGCGGCAAAATGCACGACACAATACGCAATCAGGTACACATTAACACATATTGGTTATTTGAGTCAAAATCAGTGTTGCTCCCACAATCTTGCCTTGAACTTATCCGGGAGGTCGTGTGTTTATTTATGGTATTTTATTTTTGTTCATTTATTACTCAACGTGATGACACACGTGGTTTTGATTCAGCAAATAATCTTTTGTGGTTCATTATGTCATAAGTTTTATCACAGTGTAACGAAATAATTTTAATAATACGAGTAATATGCACCCACACATTTGTACCTACTGTAGAGCGCGGCGGTCCGCGATAATGTTTGCTCTGTGCGATAGTCATTTATTTCGTTGATAACTTGTATGTATATTTTATTAAGAATCTATTATTTTATATTAAATCATGAGTACCTACTTAACTGTTTATATAGGTAATATTATTATGACATCTGTTTTATTTTTCGTTTTTATGATTTTCTCTTTGAATTTCCATTAGAAGGTATTATTAGATTACACTTTGAAGTTCGCGAAGCGAAAGCGGTCCTTTTTGAGCTTTCTTGATACATTAGAGGCTATTTCATTTGCATTATCATAGTAAAAAGTATCTAGATCTAATTTCTGACATACCTTTTATAAATTCTAGTCTCTGATGAAATTAAAACTCTTACTAAGCAGGTATATTCCGACACCTTGTGTCTATTTTAAAGGCAATAAAGATATTTTAGCTCATAAACCTGCTTTACTTACCTTGCCATGATTTAATGATGATGAACAAAGCAAATTAGGCGTCGTGTGAAATGAAAACAATAGAGCATCTCTATTTGAGTCAAGCATAAAGCATAGATAACACGAGCCCCTCAAGTCGTAGTCATCAATTCTCATAAATCATCATTTTATAAATTATGTATGTAGAATTATTAGTTTTAGGGATTCATCTTTATTCCATTTTAGTGGTAGGTATAAACAGTTTACATTATTCAGAATGTAAAGGTTAGTAAATGAACAAAATAAAAAAAAAATGTTTGGCTAGCTCCTTGCTATTGGACGGCATAGCAGTCAATATAAGTTACAGTAGCTACTGCTAAGTGATACTTTCTTGAGTAATATCTAAGACCCCCGCAAAGTTTATAATTAGTTAATGATCTGCTTTGAAGCTCATTTGGAGGAACATTAAATTATTGGTACTAAATCTTTCTTTACATAAAGTGTCAATAAATAAAAATTCGAAGGAAGTCGGTTATTTTGTGCGCATAAGTAAGTAGTAGGAGTATCTACCAGCTTAGACCATCTTGTGTAAAAACATGTCATGTTTTGTTCATCCCCCTGCAGCTTGTATCAGAAAAGCCAGATGTCCAGCTATGGTCTGACATAATTATCTTTTTATTGATCAATTACGTCGTAGTTGATATGCATCGATTAATAAAAAGTATCAATTATCCGATGGATGATAAAAATTATGCCATAAACAGCGTGACTGTCACGTGACAGTGCTACTTACATGGAGAACTCATCCATATGTATGATTATTATAATTATTCGATCCGTCATAGTCGCTCCATAACGTAGGTGGGTACTTCTCATTTACACACAAATTTGATGGTCACACAATAATAGTTCATAAACGGTATAAGTTAGAAAAATAACTTTGAAATCAGATGATAAAATATCTATTTAGCTACATACAAAATAAATTTTATCGTAATAGAAGCAAAAATAATACGAAAACATCACATGAAACGATAAAAAACGGGGTCATTTTTCGCGTTCTCATCGTGTCACACCTTCGGTTGCAATGAAACATTTGGTTACTGCATTCACAATTTTCATTCAATTTGTGTGACAATTCTGCATGTATTTAGAATGCTGGCCTTTTGTAATTGTGGGGAAAAATATTCGGGTAAGTCTAAGCTTCTAAGTGACGGGATCAGCTGTACAGGAATGACTCCTGTCGTGGAAAGAACTATAGGCACTATATTTACTTTATTTAACCTCCACATGCGTGTTATTTCTTCTTTAAGATCTGTGTATTTGGAAATTTTTTCAGCTATTGTTTTTTGAAGGTTGTGTGTATTGGGGATAGCAATATCGATCAGGTGTGCAGTTTTATTGAGTTTATCAATTAGGGTTATGTCTGGCCTGTTATAATGTACTGTTTTGTCGGTAAGAATCGCGCGGTCAAAATACAGTTTATGAGAGTTATTTTCCAAAATGGTTTCAGGGTTGTACTTGTAATATGGGGTGGATGGTGGAGTTAGTAGTTTATATTTCTGGGCTATTGCTTGATGAATTATGTTTGCGACCTGATCGTGGCGGTATTTATAGTCTGTTTGGACTATGGCCTTACATGCACCTGTGATATGTTGTATCGTTTCCGGAGAACTATTGCATCGTCTGCAGATATCGGTCTGTGAATTGGGCAACTTCATGATATACTTTTGGTAATTACGCGTTTCTATAATTTGGTCCTGTATAGCTATAATAAATCCCTCCGTCTCCGGGAATAGCTCTCCTCGCTTCAGCCACTCGTTCGACGCCTTGCAGTCGACGTTGTTGTGGAGAAGATCTTGGAGATGCCGCCCGTGGAGAGATTTCCTAATCCACTCTTGTAATTTGGTGTCTTTGTGAGTCTGATTTTCACATTTTTGTGTGTTTTGATCTATTAGATTTAAAGGNCGCCTAGAACTAGACCAAGCAGTAACTTGAATAATGTACTTGATTAACTGTTAATATAGTTAGTATTAAGTTATTCAATCAATTTATTAGTATCTTTCAGGCAGAAGTCTACGCCATTATTGAATGTGCGGAAGCTAACCTGCGAAAAAATTATGCCAACCACATAATTTACATTGACTCAGACAGTCAGGCCGCGCTGATGGCCTTAAACTCCATCTTAATCACCTCAAAGTTGGTAGAAAACTGCATGAGTCGACTGAATACCCTAGGAAAACGTGACAGAGTAAGAGTAACGTAGCTGAGATGGGTTCCAGGTCACGCGGGAATCGTGAAACTGGCCAGAGCGGGAGCGGAGGGAACACAATATGGCCCAGAACCCTTTTGTGGCATTTCCAAAAGTCTCGCTCGAATGACCCTGGAAAACATCTATTTAAACAAATCCTTTAAGGCATGGTCAGTTGGTCAGACACGCCAGGATTAACTCATTCCAAAGCTCTTATAAAAGTCTATGACCGAAAATGCTCTAAGCAGATCATAGGACTGAGTAGGATCAAAATGCGCATCTTAGTTCGAGCCTTCACTGGACACTGCAGCTAAAACAAGCACTTGTCCACTATGGGACTGTCCGAATCAGGAACGTGCAGGATGTGCCAAGAGGCAGATGAAACGCCACTACACATTCTCACGGACTGCGGACCTTTGATGCGCAAGCGGAGCTTACACCTGGGCAAACACATCCTAAGCCAACAAGATGTAAAACATATCGCCCCCAAAAAGATACTGCAATTCCTAATGGATGCAGGACTCGGAGGCGAACTGTAAGGAAAATAGCGGCGATCACAATAGATCGGTACCGGTCGCAGTTATACTAGGACTTTATTGAACTAGAATAGCCGCTCAACTCAATAAAAAAATAGTTCTTCTGCGTTTGAAACACAAATTAGTACAGTATAGGAGAGGAATAAATTGCAAATAGTTTGTACAGTATCAGTATCGGCGCGCCGACAGCTGGTCGTCGGCGGCGGCGGCGTGGAAAAATTCGCGGCGGCGGCGGCGCGCCGGCGTGGCGCCCACCTCTAGTTGCCAGTGATGGTATATGGATCTGAAACGTGGTCGCTTACTATGGGCCTCATAAGAAGGCTCAAGGTCACCCAAAGGGCGATGGAGCGGACTATGCTCGGAGTTTCCCTGCGTGATCGAATCAGAAATGAGGAGATCCGCCGGAGAACCAAAGTAACCGACATAGCTCGCAGAATTGCTAAAATCAAGTGGCAGTGGGCGGGGCACATAGCTCGTAGAGACGATGGCCGTTGGGGCAGGAAAGGTTCTCGAGTGGCGACCACGGGCTGGAAGACGTAGCGTGGGCAGGCCTCCGGCTAGGTGGACCGACGATCTGGTAAAGGTCGCGGGAAGAGCCTGGATGTAGGCAGCGCAGGACCGTGCATTGTGGAAAACCTTGGAGGAGGCCTTTGTCCAGCAGTGAACGTCATTTGGCTGAAACGAACGAAGAAGTAAGATCAAGTAACTCACACGTCAGAACCCTCTTTGCTCTCCCAATGAGGCCCTTTACCGCCAGCTTCTGGTAATCAGGGTCTCTCCCTTCCAGCTCCTTCAGGGTGCCGTCAGCCGTCTCCTTGTCCTTGAATCCCAACCCTGGGACTGTGTCTGGGGGCAGTTCAGGTTTCTTGGCTTTCTCTTCCATCTCCACGTCGGAGTCTGAACTGGAATCCTGTAAGGAAGATGGGATAAGATAGTAATTTATTTCAGGTTAGTTGTTGTAATACGAAGGCGTGTGAGCTTTAACATGTGGTGGTTCGCTACTGTTTGTTATTCAAAAGTTTTGATAGAGATTAATATACACGTACACACAGAAATAAAACTCACTCGCCTTCCTGAATTGCAAGAACAATATCGTCGCCGTCGACATCATCATCATCCTTGCATCTCACTAAGATCAGGTATGACGTGATTGCGGTCAAATACCTGCTTTGTTCTGCATAAAAAATAAAAAAGACATCACAATAGTTCTAGCAAAAACTGAGGCATTTTTAATTTGATTAAAATTTTACCTAATATGTATAATAAATTTAACAAGCTTATGAACATCTACCCTATGAATCACTATGCTTGCAAAATGCATCTTACGACTTTGCTGAAAACTTGGAGCTATGACAAGACTGAAACATTTTTGCATGAAATAAACTAAGATAAAGTTAAAAATTTAAATCCAGTATAATTTACAATATAGGCTTCCCTAAACGAATTTAACCTAAAATTAATATTAATTAATTATGCAAACACATAACTTAACTTTTCATTAAATAAATTAATAAAATTACTACTACATAATAACCACACACACACACACACACACACACACACACCACACATACACACACCACACACACACACACACACACACACACAATTTTCAGTTCCTACTCGTAAAATAAGTCAATAGATATACATGGTATTTCCTAGCTGTATAATTTCATAATGTAAATTATTGTAAATGGAGAGCGGGGTTTTCTAACACAAGTATCTACTTATACTTAAAAGAAAACCCCAATCGAAACCCTGTTTTTTCAAACCTGATTCTGAATAAACAATTTTGTATTTGTATTTTTTTTTTACCTGGTCATCGCCATTTTTGTCTTCCTTCTCCTTCTTCTTCGGCACCTCTTTCTTTTCCGGTTTCTTATCAGTCTTCTGTTCTTTGTTTTTGTCCAATTCTTCTAGCCAGATCTCGAACACTTGCATTGCTTCTTTGATGTTCTTTATTTTGTCTTCTGCTTTTGTCACTGTAAATAAGTATTGGAGGAGTTAGTTCAAGTATGCTCCAATAGATGGCGTGGATTGATAATTTACATGATGGGACAGTGGATAGGACCTAACCTATGGCCCATTTATTGTCCCGAAGCAGTGGTAGGGTTAATATTGGGACGTGTAAAAGTGCTTTCTAAAAGCCTTTGAAGGTATAGCATGAAGCCCGGCCCTTCTAGTGTTAAAAAACAGTCTGTTTTCACTTCGCAAACAACTTATCGCCAAAGTTTCATTTCCCAAATGAACTTTTAGCAACTGTACTTTTCGCAACTAATTCATTTGGTCAAATTATCACTTGGCCAAATTTTACTTGGCAAATATTTATATAGCAAATGTTTTATGTTGCCAAATATTATATCCCAAATAATTTGTTTGATCAAATTGACACTTCACATAGGGTAATTGCGCCGGTTTTCCGTCCAGCTCCTGTTTTCGTCCATTTGACCGACTTGCCACAAACAAATACGGAAAATTAGAATACAAACCTAACTTTCCGTGCAAGTTTGGACTTGTTACAATCTATAATATCTAAGTAACAGTTCTGCCTGCATGAAAATGTAATTTGACAAGCAATAACTCCAAAAAAATCTACGGAANAAAGTTTTAGGTGGTGCAACTCAGCCTGAGTTTGAGAATCCTTATTGAAACACAAATATTATGACTGCAAGAAAGTACAAAGGTTTGTCAGGCTGGAATGTGACCGAATGAACACCGAGTCAACTCTTTCAATACGCAGAACCTATACCAGCAATTTTTAACTGCATTTAATTTGCCATCATAACATATCACCATATCACAACAGCAATGGACACGTGCGCATTATTTCCATACAAATTACATAACTAATGTCATTACTTCGTAGGTGGTTCGACCGCAAGTGTCGCGGCCTCGAATTACAAAAACCACGGAACCGGAGCTCTTTAATTAGCAGCTCCACAGCTTAACAAGATACCTCACACTGACGCACAGCAGCGAACGGGAATGGACTGTATCATGCCTGAAAAAAGGTGCTATTTCTGTCGGCGAAGGGTGGGTATTAGTAAAAACGTTAGTCTTTACATGGGGGGACTTTCTATAGTTCAGTTGGTGACTAGGTTTGGTTTTTGTCCCGGTGGAACTCGAAAACTAAGAAGTTTCAACCGTTATGATGAATATAACACGCAGGATTAGATTTATAAAGCCTACATGATGAGATTATAAAATTAAATGGTAATAAGTTATTACGCTAGAGAGTCGAGTACGGATCGCTCTCAATGCGCTCTCGCAGTGCGTGCGAGGGCGATGTGTTGATGTTTGGTGTGGGGACGGCGGCGAAGTAAAATAAGCACTGTCAATGAAAAAGTACCAAAATATGCAATAACGCTATAAAAATAGCATTATATGCGTTTGCATATGCAATAATGCAAATGCATATAATCCGATGTCTAGTAATAACTCAGTGAAATGTGACTTTTTAGAACTAAATTAAGTACGAGTAACTTTTCATTATAAGGAACTTTCATCTTGATATAATCTTGAATAGAAAGCCGTTTTTTAACAACTGAAAAACTTTAGCACAACTGAAAAAAACGATGCAGTTCAATCATCTTTTTTCTCTACATCAATTGTTTGTTGCAAATTCTCTTCAAAAGCGAATGCAAACGGAGGCACCTAATTTCATACTTGCATCCTCTTTTGTTATCCAAACATCGTATTGTGTAAAGACCACTGTACGTACAGTTGACATCAACTCTGCCAGTTACCAATTAACGCTTTCTTTATCTCGAACGTTCCATTTCATTTGATGCACTGACATTGTGATTTTAAATGATAGCAATTAGCCTGTGTTGGGCACTAACCCCGTTACTACGCTAAGTGAATTCCCCTTTTTGTTTCTGTAGATGGGAGATAACAAAGTTACTGGTTAGTGACGACACCAGACACGTTTATTATAATTCCATTTTCTAAGTAAGTTTTATCCAGGATCTTTTGAACATCACTTTTAAGTTTGAGGAGTTGTTTGGTAATATTATTTTTGGAAGTTCCTCTTATTTGAACCCCATGGGATCACTTCTCGGAAATGATCCCATAATGATCATGTAATAAAATAAATTTAATCATAGTAAGCCAAAAATTCAGTGATCGCAAATTATTGGCAGTCAGGAAATATCGAGAATGTATTTCAACTGCAAAGTTTTATTTTTGAATCCGACTGATATTGTGTTATGTTAGCAACGATGTTAGCAACGAAAGGATTAACGCTGATTTGGCTATCAAATTACACCTGAGGAACGCGGGGAGTCGTACGGGATAACAAAAAGATATTCCTTGTGGCATTCGAACGTTGGCCGCGAGCTAAACGCCATGACCCGAGAGCCTTCTAAAATATCAGTGTGTTGTGTACCTATGATTGATGGCTTGAATTGGCAAATTATGGTATTGGTGAATAAGTTGGTTTCAGACTATTTGTATTTAANACTTTTTAACAGTGATAAACCCATAAAAACCGGTAAAAAGATGTGGACGAAAACAAAAAACAGCTTTAAACGTTGTTGTGTTTTCGTCCATGACGTCATGAGCAAGCACTGGGGTGGACGAAAACCAAAATTGGCTATTCCTGTAGATTAGTTTTCGTCCATTTGTCCTTCGACCTATTGCAATATTTTCCCAAATTTAGGTAAGAAACTTATTTAAATCTTTTTTATATCATTTGAAAGCTAACAAAATTACCTTTCAAATGATATACCACAATCCATAGTTACTGTATTGTAGAATTGGTTTTAAGTTAATAATTCAACTGCACCCTTTTTTCTACACAGTGGTCGAAAACTAGCGTACACTAGGACGAAAACTGATTTTTTTGAACGAAAACTAGTGAAATCGCCTCTTTTGCATAAAATATTTTTTATAAAAAAACCCGTGGTATTTACTTATTGTCATATAATATTAACGTAAAGTAGACTATATAAGGACTAAAATGACATAATGATACATATGAGTAAGGGTATTTTAAGATATTCATTTCGCATCACAAAGTTGGCAACTCCGCTAATTGGACGAAAACTAGCGCACTTACCCTACTTACCCACCGTTACCCACAAATCAAAGCATAAGGCACATGATCATGGTTTTCACAATAATTTTATGTAAAACATTGCAGAAAATAGTATGGTTGCAAAAAGTAGGTATTGCAGAAAATAGTAGGTTAGGTTAGGTTAGAACAGTGACCCTTAATGCGCGAAGGCGAGCGAAGCGTGCCGCGGCAGCGGCCGCCGAGCGCTAGAATCACCTCTATTGTTATTAATCATTTGGAAATTTCGATACAAAGAATGAAATAAGGAAATTAATGTAGAACAAATTTTACCTATAAACAAAATAATAACCACAAGCTAATTTGAATACCATTCTATGCACCAATCAAATTATTTTGTAAATAGTTTATCGTGAAATATTTTTGCCTAATGAAACATTTGGCAAACCATACTTTGCCAAACAATAATTTGCTAAACAATAATATGCAAAAAATAACATTTGCGAATTAAAAGTTTGCAATAAGTTGCTTTGCCAAATGAGAATTTGCCAAATGAAAATTTGCGAAACGTTGTTTGCGATGTGATAATTTGGGAAACGTTTTTTGGCCAAACATTAGTAATCCCATTAGGACACTAGCATATGACTTACTAATGGGAGGATGTAACTTTAAGGCTTCGCCATATGTCAGACAATGGTCACCAGGGGGGGGGGGGGGTTCACCAGACCATTCTGGGGTGCCTTAGCACCAGGATCACCTCGGGTGTCAAGCCATGCTATGCCGCCATTGCACAGCTTGATGTGACGTCATCGATACTCACTTGAAAGCACTCTCTTGGCTCTCCCAAGCAGTCCTCTCACGGTCAAACGTCTGTAGTTAAGCGGGTGCTCCTCTAACAACCGAAGGGTCTCCTCGGCCTTCGCTTTGTCCTTGAACCCGAAGCCGGAGTCCTCTTTGTCGTCTTTGCCCATGATTCTGGAAAAGAGAGTCACTATTAGCTACTTTGTCCTACCTGTATCTTACTGAAAATAAAAGGGAAAGTCGGTGAGAATTGAATAGGTTTCGGTCTAAAGTTCTCCACTGCAGAAACATAAGAAGATTTAATGAAGGCTACTGACAACGTCACTCTTGTAGTGGAGTTTTGGGCTGACAATGTGTAGGTTTATTGTCGACACGACAAGAAAAAGACTGCAGAAACACGACCCTCTTCAATTTAGGGAATGGAAGATTGATCTAGATTTACCCACGCTGCAGTTGGCCAGAGTTTAGGGAGGCATGATGTTCGCTAATGTTTGTCCCAGTCGCGTCTATTACGACATCCACGTATGTGTGTATTGCACAAATTGCTAATAGTCCCGTTAGCCCCTCGTAGTAAACTAAATAAGCTTCTCAGCTTCTGTTACGAATAGGCTCACCACAAAGTCTAGCGCGGTGGGATTCGAACCGTTTTCCTCGGATTTCGAGACAGGTATGTCTCGCGAGTCGGCCAGTCCGACCCCTTCACCGTTCGGCTATCGTGGCTTTTTAATTTTAATTGCTTCTCTGCTGGAACTAGATGGTAACACGCTCGGTTATTTATGTGAATGATTCTTATTTACTTACTCGAAAACATATTTTTATCGATGCAGTAATGCCGATGCCGTGACGACCACGAAAGGACAATGTCGCGGCCTTGTGAATCCAAATTTTATTATTTGCATAAGTTCGCGCTTTTCGTACTGTTGCATGTAAATTAGGAAGTATTGTGCTGTTTTCGTTACATCGACTAGTAACTAATTTACTAAATAACTATTCTCCAAACTAACATTTCCCCCCCCCATCATTAACCCCCCCCCAATTATTGTTGTACCCCAACAATTGTCATGTATCAATAATTCACAATTATTGTGAAACATTGGGAATCACTATGCGCCAATAGGAACTGGCCATTTTATTACAAAACAGCTGAATATAGAAATTGTGAACTCACATACCTATACTTGTAATTAAATCTAAACAAAAGGAGACATGAAAATTGATATGTATCATTTGTGAGACATTGCGAACTTTTTTTAACAGCCGAATTAACCAAATGTGAACTCATACATACCAATTAGGTGACGTCATAGTTACCTTGGGATTCAAACTGCTGTTAATAATCATGACTGTCGCAAAATCGCTTTTAAAACAAACCCATAAGATGTAGTTTTAAACTTTAACTTTGTACGATAATATTGTCGCATATTTAGATGTGGAATGAATAAATAAGTAAAACACTGATAAGGGTAATTTAAATTCTAAATAGGCGCTTGACAACACGGTATTTTCTTTTAACGGGATCCCGGGTTCGATTCTCAATCGGATCATTTTCGTCACGACGTTTTCTAGTAAGTACGTCTATACATAGTGCCTATTAAAACCTTTTCACGTTTAACCGATTTAAATATAGTTTGAGCTACCAATAACCGGTGGAAAGATAATGAAAATGATAGTTTTTAGACTCAGGCAAAAACATAGAACTTAGAGTGTTCATGCCTGTTTTACCGCTAGCTATGGCCCTAAGGTTTTCTATTACAGACAAAATACCAGGGATGTTATGGATATCCGTAACTGTAACCGAAACTTTCGGATATCCGAAATAAAAAAATATCCGTAAACGAAACCGGTATAATATTATCCTATATTCGTTACCGTATCCATAACCGAAACTACAATCCATAATTAAAATCCCTACAAAATACGCAAAAGCTAATAAAGATTAGTAGGCAGGTAATAGGTACCTATTTCTTTATCAAGCATACAAAACAAAAATGACTTTAACACTGACTTCGAATCCAAGAGAAAAATATTTCAGGAGTTGTGGATTATCTTTAGATTTTATAGCATACCTAATGCTCAATTCCAAAGCTTCTGGTAATTCCAAATTATGCCAGCTCCTCTTAAGGCCGGGTAGCAGAGAAAATGGCGAAAATGAGGTTTTCATTTTTCATTTTTGAGGTACTAAACAGTAAAATTAAAGGCTAAGATTTTTATTGGGCATGGTTGAGGATATTTTCTAGGGCTATTAACGGATGGAAACACGATTTGATGAAGTTGACTCGATAGAATAAATTCCCAAAGTTACCTCNTCTTGTAATTTGGTGTCTTTGTGAGTCTGATTTTCACATTTTTGTGTGTTTTGATCTATTAGATTTAAAGGTGTGAGCTTACAATCGTTCTGTGAGATGAGTCTGTGTAGTGATGATGTCTGTGATTTACTGTGGAAATAAGCGCGTAGATTAGTGATCTGTTTGGCGTGTAAATTGGCTATATCTATTAGACCTCTTCCTCCGTCTGTCCGTGGTAGTGTTAGCCGCTGTACGCATGACCGAGGGTGGTGCTTTCGGTGTTTTGTCATGCTTGTGTTTATGATACGCTGTAGTGTCTTTAATTCTGTTTTTGTCCAGTTAATTATTCCAAAAGAATATGTAAGGATAGGTATGGCGTACGTATTTATGGCTTTGATCATACTTCCAGAATTTAGCTGTGTAGATAAGATAGCATTAAGTCGGACTCTAAATTGTTTTTTCAGGTTGTCTTTAGTATGTTTGTGATCTATTAGGTTGGATTGATTATAGCCTAAATATTTGTAAGTGTCGTTTTCCTCTAAAGGAGTAATGATCTCACCTGTATCTAACTGGTAGGAATGCTGGTAACGCTGGCCACTTCTGACAGAATTAATCTTACATTTATCTATTCCGAATTCCATATTTATGTCAAGGGAAAATTTCTCCGTAATATTCGCAAGTATTTCAAGATCAGTTTCTGACGATGCATATAGTTTAATATCATCCATATACATAAGATGGCTTACCGTTTCAATGAGTGTCTCTGTATTAGTGTGCTCTGTTAGTGTGTATCCAAGATCTGTTGAATTCAGCTTATTTGATAAAGGGTTGAGGGCTAGGCAGAACCATAGTGGGCTAAGCGCATCCCCTTGGAAGATGCCCCGTTTGATTTTGATTGTTTCGGAGTGTAGAGTACCTGTATCTGTGTTGATTTTAAGCTGTGTTGTCCATGTTTGCATAGTGCTTTCTAAAAATTGTATGATTGTGGGGTGGATTTTGTAAATATTTAAGATGCGGAGTAACCAGCTATGAGGTACGGAGTCGTAAGCTTTTTTATAATCAATGTACATAGAGTATAAATCTGTTTTTTGTTTCTTTACTTGTTTGAGGATTACTGAGTCTATTGTAAGTTGCTCCTTGCAACCTTGGCTATATTTTTTGCAACCTTTCTGTTGCTCTGTCAGTATTTCATTAAGTTCTGTGTGATTATATATAATGTGGGCAATACACGACGTGATTATTTTGTAGATTGTTTGTAAGCAAGTGATAGGCCTATATTTACTGGGGTTTAATGTATCATTTTTATCTTTTGCTATCATGTAAGTTATTCCAGTTGTTATATAAGTGGGCATATTTTGAGGATATTGCATAGAATCTTGTAATTTAGTAGGTGACGTTATCGGTAAAATTTTATCTTGTATTTAAGTAGGTACTTATTTATATTATGTTATTGCTATTTATCTATGAAAATTAGACAAAATATATGTTTTATAAACACTTAAGAGTCATTTACAGTAGTAAAGTTTGAAAAAATTATTGCTGTGAAGTATAGAATCACTTTCGTGGCATCAAAAAATTCAAAACGTTAAATCTTCCAAACGAGACTCACTATTTGACTGATTTACTGAGAATACACTCTTCACATCAAGCGCTACAATTTTTGTTTACAAAAAGTTGAAATAAGTTACAAATAAAATTTGCCACGAAGGTGACGATGAGAACCGTGGCGATGAGAAATACCCAGGTATAGTAAACTTCACATTTCCTGCCAATGCAACATAGTGTACAAGACCTTGGTGTTAGATTTTATACTGCACTAACAATATGATTGAAACGACTCTACTACGCTTAACAAACATGTTAAGCGATACTTCTACGAGTATACCTAAAAACATATGAAGCGATCAAATAAAAACCTTACGCTATGGAAATAGGTGCAAAACCAAAATTTAGTTCTTATCTTTAATGCAACCATAAAGAAACTAACATGCGTAGTCCATTTTCCATGCCACGAACTCATTCCGCAATGTTAAATTGTAAACTAAAGCCACCATTTGCCCCGTAAAATCATTATAATTCGATGACAGCATCAATAATGCATGGCTTAATTTATCGAGCCCCATGGTTTGTAAAGGGTTTTAATAAAAGCTTAATTTAAGTGCCATTAAGGCTGTGTAATTTGTTGAGGCTTGTGTTGACCACCATTTATGTAAAATCCGTTGTTTTTGATGCGCTAAAAAACAATATTTCGTATAATTCAATACTTAAAACAAGTTTTAATCCAATAAGCTCAGTCATGTGACTTCCTCAAAAAGTAATTCGATGCACGTCACGTCAGCCTTACTATAAAAATCTATACAGAATATAATATTAACACTCGATTAGTGCTGTCTGTCCAGCCTATTAAGGAAGGTCAAGTGTCCATGTGACGATTTTATTGGTCGTAGAATCCGATAAAGAGACACGAGAATGGCAATGGTTTTATTCGGCTCTCTCATCCATGCCATGGTAGCATCATAAAGAAGCCTTGAGGTACCCGGCAATACCTAAACCTATTACTTCGTAAATTTTGCAATTAAATGACGCTGAGTATCATTGTGACTGAGCTTTCTACAGACTAATCGTAGTAATTACCCGACTGCGCCAGAAAAAGGGTTATGTTTTTTGAGTAAACTTTCTTTGATTACAACAATTTGGATAAAAACAGAGTGCAGCAACGATTAAGAGTCTCAGTGATCTCAGATATAGTGATATCCAACTCCTTCCTAGACTATGGCTTCACCCCCATTATTTCGTCACAGATTTTGTTCACGATTTCATGTTTCAATATGCGTAATAACTTCTCATTACATCAAATATTTGAAGTCAAACAAAAATGATTGATGCTACTTA